TGGAATTTATGGCCAAAACGGAGGTGGAGTTGGGCTGTTTCGGGGGGGGGGGCACCCGGGGGTGGGAGGTGCGGGTGCCCGAGGTGGTTCGGGGCAAACAACCCGGGGTTCGGGGTGCGGGTGCCCGGGGGTGATGAATTTGGGCAAATTTTTTTGGGAGATGGCCAGATTTCGTGGATTTCGTGGTGGGAAGGGTGGGGGTTGATGGGTTGGGGCTAGATCCACTTGCCAAACAACAAATTCATGGACCAAAACAACCAAATCTCGCAAGATCCAACAAATTGCAAGAATTTTTTTTGGGTTATTTATGTGGGGATTTTCGAATTAGGACGAAAAACAACAAAATCAAGCTAGCAAATGGGGGGATGGGACTCCAAGATGTGAATCAACCTTGCTCATGATACCAAGATGTTGTAGGGTGAAACCCTAGAGGGGATCTTTTCACACTTGGAGGGGGGAAAGAGGAAGAACACACAAGAACATAAGGAGGAGATCACTCAAACAAACCCAAATAACACATCCACTAGAGTACCATACAAGTGATCCACAAGCATACAAGGACAATTCAAGGAAAATAGCACCAGGGTAAAAGTTCTTCCCACTAGGTGAGGTCTTGATATCCAAGAGGATCTTCTCCAAGAGGAGGGCTTGATCTCAAAGAGGAGCTTCTCCAAGAGGAGGTCTAGATCCCCAATAGGAGGAAGATGAGAAAAGCTCTCTCTTTGTCTATGTAATACTTTGCTAACCTCTCAAATGAGCTGGGGAAGGAGTTTATGTATCCTAGGGCCGAAATAGAAGGGAGAGAGGGATACAAGGGTCAAAACCCCAATTGCACGCGGCACTCTCAGAGGGGTCCGGGCACCCGAACCGGACAGGGACATGCGCTCAGGTTCGGCCGGGCACCGGGGGCGAAGTAGGCCGGGCATCCGGACCGGTCAGGAGCCGGCTGATGGTGGGCCAGGCACCCGGGGGTCCCAAGCCCGGGCACCCGGGATGGTGCCAGGCGGCTGGGGCAGGGGGCCGGACACTCGGGGCTCCAAGGCCGGGCACCCGGGGTCGGTTGGGAGCAGCACCCAGGGGGCTGCGGGCACCCGGTCCCTCCATGGCCGAGCACCCGGGGCTGACAGGGGCCGCGTCCAGGTTGGGGCCGGGCACTCGGGGCTAACAGGGGGCCACGCCCAGGTTGAGGCCGGGTACCAAGGGCCAAAGTGGTCGGGCACCCGAAGTGTCCAGCCCCCCCTCCCCCTCTTCATTCTTCTTGCTCCATTCTTCCTTATCCTCGTACATAGGTGCTCGGGTCTCCATGCTAGCCTCTTCACGATCATCACTTTGGTTCCTAAGCATGCATAACACTTCTGTTTGAGGTAGGACCCAACTCTCGTGTGAATTTGAATGGAGCTCGAAGAGGAAGGAGTTAACCTCATTCTCGATGGCGCGTGCACGTCCTCTTGTTATTGGTCTTCTCGGTGCTTGTGGTGGTGATGGAGTGTCCATGTGGATGGACGATGGATGCTCCGCATCATAGTTCCTCTAATCCTCAACTTTAGAAGCCCAGTGTGGTTCTAATCTCCTCCCTCTAATTCTCCTGCGACAATTAGCTCTAGACAGCCAAGCATTGTCGGATCGTGAAGACTGCATGCTTGCAATCAAGTAGAGAGGACGTACTTTCGGTCTTCGGTTTGAGGGACTGTTTGTGGGCGATCTATGGGATTGTTCATCGACGGTTCGAGGGACTCCAAGTACGATCTACACCGACACGTTCTTCTTTCGCTACAACTCGGTGACGGTAACGATCGTGATCTCAACCCGTTACGTATCTTCATATTGATCTTGGGTGTGCGTAGGCTTATTTTTTTTGTTTCTACTACGTTTCCCAATAGGGTAGGCCTGTCGGGTCTGACGTGGTGGACGTGCCCGGGCATCCCATGTCAGGCCGGGCGTTCGAGGTCAGTTTGAGGTGGCCGTCTGAGTTGGTTTTTCTTTTACTGGTCATTGACCGGTATACCTGGCCATAAGTCGGACTGGGCCGGGCTAATAAAACCCGTAGCAAAAAACCTAGGCTCGGCTCGGGCCTAGATTTCAGACCCAAGCCCGACCCATCAGTGGAAAAGCCCATCGGGCCTCGGGCCAGACCGCTTTCTTAAAAGGCAAATATGCCAAGCCCAAGCCTGGTCCTGCCCAGCCTTCAGGCTCAAAACTTAGGCCCAGACCCAGCCCATGGGCAAGACCGAGCTAGGCCAGGTTTTCCATGGCCAGGTATAGTAGAACCGGACGTCTGCGCGGGCTTTTGTGGGGCTTGGGGTGCCTGCTCTAATGTTTTCCTTGTCTTGAAGATTGTTTGGCCGACATCCCCAGGAGGATGTGAACTATTCCTGTTTGCCATCTCTCGTCCACTAGATACGACCAAACCTCTTGGTCCTCTGCTTGCAAGAAAAGAAAGAAGCTCTGTCGCTTTGATCCGTGTCACGCCGAACATCTGACCTGCACCTCGGCAGCTGCATTTTCCGTGCACACCAAGAACCCTCCACGCCGCGCTCCTCGCCGTCCGATCCCCGGGCCCGACGCCTCCCCGTCCTTGGATCGACCAACCGACCACTCTTCCCCGCACACGGCACACGCGCCTCCCGAGCCAGCAGCGGCAACGCAGACACACATTGCAGCACGGTCGCACAGGCGGCTCCGGCTCCTGCTCCTGCTCGCTCGGCCCCGTCCTGTAACTGCCCGCAATCTCGCCCCGACCCCCGCGCGCGGCGGCCCGGCGATCAGACCAATGGACGCGCGCCGGGTCGGCGGCCGCATCGCGGCGGCGCGGAGGGCCCTCACGGGCGCGGGCGCGGGCGCGCTGCCCCTCCCGGTGCGGATCACCAACGGCCTCGCGATGGTCTCGCTCGTGCTCTCCTCCTGCGACCTGCTCCGCCTCTGCAGCGACCCGGGCCGGCCCCTCAGATTCCCCCTCGGCGGCCGCGAGTTCGCCACCGTCGTCTGCCAGCTCGCCTCCGTCGTCTACCTCCTCAGCCTCTTCGCCGTGCCCTTCGCGCAGTCCGCCAGCGGTCGCCGCGAGGAGGGGCAGGACGGCTCCCGCCGCTCGCCGGCGGCCGTCGCGCCCGCGCCAATGCCTGACTGCCCGGACGACGGGGACGAGGAGATCGTCGCCGCGGTGGTTTCCGGGGAGCTCCCGTCGCACCGTCTGGAGTCGCGGCTTCGGGATTGCCGCCGCGCGGCCAGGCTGAGGCGAGAGGCGCTGCGGCGGATAACCGGGCGGGGCCTGGAGGGGCTCCCCTTCGAAGGGATCGACTATGAGGCCATTCTGGGGCAATGCTGCGAGATGCCCGTCGGGTATGTGCAGCTGCCGGTCGGGGTCGCCGGCCCGCTGCTCCTGGACGGGCGCGACTACCATGTTCCCATGGCCACCACTGAGGGATGCCTCGTTGCCAGCGTTAACCGCGGCTGCAGGGCCATTGCAGCGTCTGGGGGTGCCTTCAGCGTGCTGCTCCGTGACGCCATGTCCCGCGCGCCCGCCGTCAAGTTGCCTAGCGCCAAGCGGGCAGCGGAGCTCAAGATGTTTGTTGAGGCGCCTGCCAATTTTGAGGCGCTGGCTGCTGTCTTCAATAAGTAGGCCTCTCACTCTCTGATGATCTAGTATAGTGTGAGTGATGATTGAAAAATGCCTTCTTTTGCTGTCATGTCATGTTTTCAGTATTGGTGTCATGCTCATAGCTAGAAGTAGCACTGCGTGTGTTTTTAAATCCGGTGATTGCCACCCAAGCAAGTCCCTTTCTCATTTTGTTGATAATGGGGTAGTGGATACAGGGTATTATTGCCATATTGCACATGCACTCTGTTAAGGCAACTACAACGTCTTTAACCACATATTGAGGCATCAGTAGACTTATATTGCCTGATTCATCTGATTGCTACTAGCTAACTGCGATAAATGCCAGCGTATACCTTTTCTGCATTATTTGGCCTTGAATTGTCATTTTGCGTTTCTTCAAACCTCGGGGAGCGGGGACAAAGTGTCGCTTTGCGTTTCCTCAAACCTCGGGGAACGGCGACAAAGTGTCGCTTTGTGTTTCTTCAAACCTTGGGGAACGGCGACAAAGTGTCGCTTTGTGTTTCCTCAAACCTCGGGAATGGCGACAAAGTGTCGCTGTCTCCTCAAACGTGTGTCAGTTTTCGCTTCTCGAATTTTAGAGCATCTGAAATTGATGTCATCTTGTGCACTTTAAACCGTTAGCGAGTGCTGGCGTATCCTCTTTCAGAGGTTCAGGATGCACATCACATATGTTCTGTCGGTTTATGGCGTTTAGACTCAGCTTGTTACTCGCTGTTTGTAATGTTTTATTGTTGGCCTAGTTACTATACCTATGTGTCAGTCTATACTGTGTAGATGCTTAGGCAGTTATTGTTTCCCTTTTCTCGAACATAGAGGGACTTTTGGTCCATGTGTAGAAGTTTTTAATATTGTCATTTTTAGTACTCTTTATAATTGGGGTATTGTTCGTTCATACCGTTTCATAGTTGTGGCGTTCTTTACGTTGTTATTTTCTGTTCTTTCAAAGTCTAGAGAAATCATGGAAACATGTGTTGCCATCGGCAGATGTTAGCTTAGGTCATTCCTTAGCAGTTTTTGCATTGGTTAACTTCCATGGGTACTTTAGAGTTGGTAATAAGTTTAACAAATGGCATCTTTGTTAGCTTGTGCTTTAGCATTTGATTCTTGGTGCATCGTATACTGTCAAATTACTCAAAGTTTAGATACATGGTCTGTTGTTAGTACCAGACAGATGGCACTTTGTTTGATGTGATGTTTGCTGCTTTGGTGCTAATGTTTAAACAAGGATTGCATTTTCTCAAACAGCTTTTACTCCATGTGTGATTTATTTCATGAGTACCCAAGTTTGTTATCCTCTTATTTATTATATTCCATGGCTCACATTTAGTTCTGTATGAAGTATATGTATACTGTATAAGTACTTCTACGCCTAGATAATTTGACCTGCTTGCTTGATTCACTGTGTACTGTGCGTCCTTTCTTAACTAAATTAATTAATACAGTTAATGTAAGGGTAAACCTCTGTAGCAATTGTAACAACCAAGTTGTTTGCATTGTCTGGTATCCACAGATCAAGCAGATTTGGTAGGCTACAAGGTATTCAGTGTGCACTAGCTGGAAGAAACCTTTACATGAGGTTTACCTGTAGTACTGGAGATGCTATGGGGATGAATATGGTGTCAAAAGGTGTCGAAAATGTCTTGGGCTACCTGCGGAACAACTTCCCCGACATGGAAGTCATCAGCATATCTGGTTTGAACTCTTTCCTTGCAAACTGTGACTTGCATTCTTTCTCTAAAAACTAATACATCCTTTTAGCAGATAACTAATGCACTGCTTTGCTGATCAATGCAAACAATAGATCTGCTAGTTTTCTGTTGACCCGGAGCAAACTTACCGTAGTCCTTTTATAAAAAAAAAACTTACCATGGTCCTATTTATGATATATGTTGTAGTGGACCAATTCAGCACTTGCCCTGGATGTATAGTAGTACCCAATATCACCATGGTTCTTTTGTCCAGCATTTGAAAAATTATTTAATTTTTTGCTTATATCAGGTAACTACTGTTCAGACAAGAAGGCTACTGCTGTAAATTGGATAGAAGGTCGCGGGAAATCTGTTGTTTGTGAGGCTACAATTAAAGGAAGAGTTGTGCAGAGTGTTCTGAAAACCACTGTGGAAAAACTTGTCGAGCTTAACATTATCAAAAACCTTGCTGGGTCAGCTGTAGCTGGAGCTCTTGGAGGTTTCAATGCTCATGCAAGCAATATTGTAACTGCACTATTCATTGCTACTGGCCAGGATCCTGCGCAAAATGTTGAAAGCTCACAGTGCATCACCATGTTGGAGGCAGTGAATGAGGGAAAAGATCTCCACATCTCTGTGACCATGCCGTCCATCGAGGTGATCCCATTTTCCTTTCTGTTCTTGGTAGCTGGAATCAAGTTCCTTCTCTATGTAGATTGTAGCGCAGTCTGTAATCGCCAGGCTTCAGTGATTAAAATTATTAGCCAAGAAGTCTTTGCTGAATCATTTGTTTTCCTGTTATGCTTTCTGATCCGTAATTCGATCAATCCTTCATTTCTACTGTTCTTCTCATATTAATATGTCCATTATAATGACTTTAGTTTGTATTTCTCAGGTTGGTACAATTGGAGGGGGCACCTCTCTCACCTCACAGGCCGCGTGTTTGAACCTGCTTGGTGTGAAGGGCCCAAATCATGGCTCGCCGGGCGCGAATGCTAGACTTTTGGCTACCATTGTAGCGGGCAGTGTGCTTGCTGGCGAGCTCTCTCTCCTCGCTGCTCTAGCCGCTGGTCAGCTTGTGAAGAGCCACATGAAGTACAATCGATCGAGTAAAGATGTTGCGAATGCTGCTTCGTGAGTAGCCCCCTGGGATCCATCCAGTGCTTACCGTGTTGAGACAGGAGACTAGCAAATTAGCAGAGTAGTGAGACTTGCCTGTACATACTGCTGATTAAGCGAGCGAGTCTTGTTTAGGTTCCCTTCGGATCGCAGGCATCAGAAACCAGATGCGACCTGTATTGCGAGCATAATTTGTGAAGGAGAAAACACCTGACCTATCGTGCAGTTTCTGATTGTAACTTTTGTTTGTGTAGCCCTGCAGATGTTTATGTTTTCTTGTGTAACCATTTAGACATGTTTTTTCTTCAGTTGTTTGAGATAGCAGCAGATCAGAATATCAGATTAGCTTGTGATTCATGTTACTGTTCTCTCTATGCAGTATGCTAGATTTTAAATTTTGTCTGTGGTATGAAGGTCCAGTGTGTTTATTTTTTCCTGGAGGAAAGCTTCACGGCCCCATTTCCATTAAACTGACATACTTCCTCCGGATTTAGTTGCCGCTCAAACAGATGTATCTAGCACTGAAATGAAGAGTGTACCGGTCAAAATATCCTTTTTTCTGTTTTTTCCGAATAAAAACAGCCTACATCAACAAGGTGCTAACCCGCCAAGCTTAGTGTAAAATCTTTTAATAAGCAGCAAAGTAACTTGCAAAAGCTAACCTGATGCCAACGCAAGAAAGCAACTCTTACACAGCGAGAGACTAGTACATACTACAGCAGGGAACAGTAAAACTGACAGCTCAAAATAAAAAGGAACGGTATAACTAAACTAGCAGAATTCAGGAACAGTAAATTAAAAATAGAATTAGGACTTTTAGCATTTCCTACCCACTGCACTGTGCACTACAGAGAAATTTAGCCAGAGGATAGAAGAAGAAAAGGGATCAATGCTTTCTTCCATGCAACATAACCCACAATTACCTTATCGTCCCATCCTCTTTTCTTAAGATTATCTTTAGAAGGGTGCTATTCTTAAAAACTAGCAAAGAGAAATCTTCGATTTTTAGATACATTTTCATCCTCCAAATATCGTTACAAGGAAATTGAGCCTGCCTATGCAATCAAATAAGCATAGAGAGACTTCACCGAGACAACATTTCACTTGGTTAAAAGCCATACAACCTCGTCTAGTTCATTGTTTCGAGTCACCTGACCAAGTAAATCTGAAAACTTATTCCACATATCCAACGTGTCAGAGTGAAAGTATCTTCTGAACAGAATGCAATCAAAATCGTGCCTAAAAACTTTGGCGGCATTAAAATGTTGACAAAAGATCAAGTTGTAAAGTCTAGGAAAAAGCAGACATGGAGGTTGATCTGTGACATCCTCCCAAAATCTTTACTTGCACCAAGGGACAGAGACGGGATTGGGCCAGGCCCTGGGCCTGCTTTTATTGTAAGTTGTACAATCCTAAGAGAGCTACATCTCGCTTATAGCGAGTATAGCTCTCGTCTAGCCTGAAGAGTCCACAAGTATGGGCCAGCCGGATTGTATTTTTTCTTTCCTGCTAAATACATGTTTAACTTTTTTAAAAATTTGTATCTTTCTATCTCACCTTCTTTTCATACATATTGTAAATTTTTGGTATATAGCTAATACATTTTTCTAATACAAGTTTACCATTTTTAAATATAGTATTAATCTTTTTGGATATATGGTCAACATTTTTTCATACACATTGTTAACATTTTTCAAATAACAGATCAACATTTTTTTAATACAAGGTCAACATTTTTGCTTATGCATTTAACATTTTCAAATGTTTGATTAACATTTTTCAAATATAATATTAATTTTTTTAATACATGGTCAACATTTTTTATAAAAATAATATTTTTTAAAATCTTGATTAATATTTTTCAAATACAAGATCAACATATTTTTTTCCAAAATGGTTGATAAACATTTTTTAAATACATGACCAACTTTTTTCATAGACATTGTATTTTTGGTATACATGTATAGATGAGAAACATTTTCTCTATACAAATTTTTTTCAAATGATTTGCTTAAAGTGGTTTTTATATATTTATCCAGAATATTGGAAAATATAAACAAAGTAAAATAAGGAGAAAAGGTTTAAAAAGTAAAAATACAAAAACGAGGTTGTGGCCTCCCACACCCTTGATCGGCCCCTATCGGAAGCCTGAGCAAGGATAAATATAATATTTTTAAAAACCTTTTCTCCTTATATTTTACTGGCCACTGCGACGCCAAGGAACTAGGCCGGCCCAGTAACAAGCTGTCGTGCCGTGCTGATGACATGATGATGCCATCGTGTTTGTCCATATATTTTTATAACATTTTTAAAATCTTTTTTATATGTGTTTATATTTTCAAATAAGTATTACAAAATGATTACATTAATGCTTAAGAATGTGAATCTTGCATTTAAGAATTCTGAAACATGTATAGAAAAATGTTTATGTTGTATCCTAAAATGTATAAATGTGAATATAAAAAGTAGAAAATGTTAACCATTTCAAGAAAATATTTGCGATAATTATAAAATGTCACATGTTTCAAAACAAATGTATGTGACAATTAAAATTGTTGATACCAATGTAATTAAATGTTCAATGAGACAGTAAAAAATTTTGTACATATAAAAATGTGTAGTTATATTTACAAAAATATGCACAACTTTGTGAAATTTGTTAGTGAAATTTTCAAAAAAGTTTCTACAATGTATAAAAATGTTGCCTAGTTCCAACCAATATTATTATCAATAAAAACTGTTTAAACATGTATTTTGAAAAAAAATGTGTTACACGTATTTGAACGAAAATCAAAACAAGTTTTCATAAAAAAATTGGACATATATTGGGAAACCGTTAAACAGGTATAGAACAAATAAACTAAATGTATATCAAACATTTAGAATGTGTATGAAAAAAATATATGTACTTGGAAGACAAACCGGGTGAAAATGATGAAAAAACAAAAATAAAAGCAAAGAAACGAAGAAAGAAACAAAGAAAACCAAAGCATAAAGAAGAAAAACTAAAAAACATTGAAAAATCAAAGAAAACTGAAGCTAAAAAGAAGGAGAAAGAAAAAAAGGTGAAAAAGAAAAATGAACAAAAACAACTAAGAAACAGGACCGATCTAGGACGAGTGTGCAAGGAACGACAATAAATAAATCGGCCGGTTAGCTAGGCCCCGCCCATTGGTGATTTGTATTATGAATCGGTACGGACAACGTAAAGAACTCGTGCTTGTGCACCGCGATCAGTAGCGGGCTGGCACATTTAGTAAAGTAGTCGCTTCCACTCGTTGTGGTCTCTTAGGTTCGCTTGGTTCGGTTTTTGTAGAGTTTTTTCTACTTTCTTTAGTTTTCTCTTTAATTTTTATTTTTTTCATGGTTTTTCATTTTTCTTCATTTTTCATTGTTTTTCATTGATATTTTCAGTTTTCCTTTCTTTCTCCCTTATTTTTTTGCTTCTTTCTTGATTTTCATTTTTTTGGTTATTTTCTCTTTCTTTTTGTTTCAATGTCGGTTTTTATCTGGTATTTCTAACATGTGCCTATGTTTTTTCTTGTTACAAAATGTATGTTTTTTCTCGGTACAAAATGTATGTTTTTAGAGCACATGTGAAACATTTTTCTTGATATACGTTGGACATTGTTCAAATAGATGATGTAGATTTTCATTAAATACATGTTTTTTAATACACGGTAACATTTTCCAAAAGCACATTGTACAGTTTTTAATGGGAATAAACATTTTACCAAAACTGCAGAAATATTTGTACACATTGTATAAACATTTTTAAAATTTTCATGGAACTACTTTAACTTACTTTTATTTTAGTAAAATAAAACATTGCTTTTTCAAGAAAAAAATTAAGCTACGAAAAAACTTGTATATAACATATTTTTTAAATCTCAAGAACATTTTTGGAAACACTTGAATAGTTCGATAAAATGCCACGTATATTTTTTAATAATATGATTTTCTTTGCACTACACAAATATTTTTTATTTAATTTGAATACTCATTTTTCAAATCTTTCGCATTTAATTTTTTGGAATGCGGGAACTTTTAACATTGTTACGAACATTTTTTTAAGGTTATCAACTTCTTTTAAACCGGGCTGACAATTTTTTAGACTATGTTTTTTTTTCAGATTTGTGCTTTAAAATTTCTTAATTATTTAAGTTTTTGGTAATACATGCATTTGAAATAAAAATAAAAATCAAGTGACATCAGGATGACGTACATGCCCTACTAGTCCGATACACCAGAGGCACCCTATAGGAGAGGCATGCTTCTTCCTCACAACATGCAGGACATAGCCCCAGCCCCTGCGCAAGGGAGTCGAGCATGGGAGCTATTTCTCACCCATACCAAGACATATGATAGCCTCACCTCGTTTGGCACTCAGCTACGACCCGCCCTAGTATTCCGGCCCAGTAGAGCAGTTTTGGGAACTTTGTATGCATCGGTTTAATTTTAGCATTAAATTTTGTGATTTTTCTTTATTTGTTGTCTTTTTCTGATAGGTTTTGATGATTTTATTGGTTTTCTTCGGCTTTCATCGTGTTTTTATTTTTTTTTATTTTGCAAATACATGTTGACTTTTTTGAATACATGTTGTACATTATTCGTACACATGTAACAATTTTTTATACACGTTAAAAATTTCTAAAATATATGATTAACGCTTTTTGAAATACATATTTGAACTTTTTAAAATAATGGTAACATTTTCTAGTACGAATTGAGCATTTTTTTAATGGTAGCAAACATTTTTTTAACTACGTGGTATATTTACATTATGTAAAGATTTTTGTTAAAATGTCAATGACATATACTTGGAAAGGTGATATTAGTTTCAAATCAAGAAACAAAACTTAAATTGTATGAAAGGTCTTTTACCTACCCCAACATGTTTTACATTTAATAATTATTTTGTTTAACTGTGATGAACATATCTTTTGAAATGCATGAATATTTTCTTGAATGGCATGAAACATTTTTTTTATTTATGCACACATTTTTTGAAATTATGTA